TGTGCATTCTCTTGCACGAAACGGCAAACGGAGCTCCAACAACCATTAACCGACGCGAAGGTCACACCTGTTTATGGAATGAAAGACAAAAAAAAGGACGTCTGGTTCATCTCAAAAGAACGTATTAAGGAGTAAAATACGTCAGTACAGGTATTTGTTATGTGTATTACTAACCTTCCCCATTTTATCTTGGGAAAATTCTTTATTATTTATTGTTGTTGTTATCTACTCTGCAATGTGGCAGAATTTAAAATAGCTGCTCGTTTGATGCAAAAAAATTAAGCTGTTCCATTATAGGTGGTGGTTATTAATATTAAATGAAATAAGGATCGTCTCTATAGGTGCACAATAATAAATTCTAAAATACGAAATTAAATAGTAAATATATGCATAAATCTATATTATATATACATTTTTGACGGAGGAAACATGTAACAGTGATGCAGTGTTACATATTTGACGTTAAATGGTCCTTATTACGAACAGTAACTAAAGTATTGGTGTGATATATTCTGGAAGATGGAATGATCATCTAAAATAGTCCAATTATTGTTAACATCAAGCAAACAAATTAATAAGTTGTATGCTTGATATTTAATTATTAAATAGCTCATTTCGTACTGCTCTATGAAAGGTGAAGATGAAAAGTTCGATATTGATTACCATATTAATCATCTATATATTTTAAATCGAACTTGAACGTTTTGTAAATAAATCATACGTCCCATGTTTAACGTAATAATAATAATAATAATAATATATATATTTATGAATATAAAGATATTCCTATTCTTGTTTCATATTTTTAAAATTAACAATAATATGGTAGCTAAAAAGTTTTTATTCAAGGAGGAGGAAAAAGTGCAATAACTTTAAAATATCATTTATGATAATTACATGGTGATCAGTTAACAATTTTAAAATGATTATTTTTTTGGAAGAATATCTTTAAACAGTTGGAAACAAATTACTGACCAAATAGCAAGTGGTTTGTTTGGTTATTAAAATATAACGAAAATTTCCAAAGAAAAGAAAATGAAACTGGCGGATAATTTTAAAAAGCACCTAAAGAATTAGTAAAAGTCCTAGGACGGAAGTTACTTATTCGGTTAAAATTTGCTATAAATAAAAGTCCTAGGACTGAGGACAAAAGTTACTTGTTCAGTTGAATTTTAAAAATTTATGTTGAAATTCTTAATATGGCCAAATTCTCCTTTAACTAAAACTTGGCTAAGTTTACAATTCAATTATAACAACTTTCCATAAGGGTATATAATGTAGTGTTATTAGATTTTTTTGTAATGTATGTTAAACATTTCTGGTCTCTTTCATGTGTAAACCGACTGATATTAGTTATTTATAACATACTATTTGATAAGTAGCTGAAGCATTTGTTGTAGTCTTGTAATGTTAAATTTGGAAGGATGAGTTTGTAATTTAGTAATGGTACACGATATTTATAGATAGTCGATGTTCATTCCGTAGGTTCGAAAGTCCACAAAAAAATTTCTTTTGTATTTTTCCGAGCCCGTCGACCCACGGAAAAAAGACCCGTCCCTCGTTATTATGAAATGCTCCAAAAATTCTACAACGTTTTTTGTAACCGTTGTGTGATAACAACACTTGTAACAATTAATTATTACTGTACTACTAGCTATCGTTCAAGTGTGTTACACTCTAGTACCTAATATAAGTGATAATGGTATTTGGCAGCTAATTGCAGCCTTTACTTTCCAATTGGACTTTTTATTGTCGTTACTATTATAATCAGTACTATTATTTTTTAAAGGGCCATTGCTACACCAATGCCTTGAATGAAAATAGTGAGACCATATTTTTCATCGATTTTTTAAATGAGCATATCGGTTTCTTTTAATTCGGCATTGGTGTTTGGAGCCTCTATCATCAAATGAAACCCTAACTATACCTAAATTTATTTTAATTAATGCATGTTATTTAATGTATTTTTAATAAAATATTAACTTATACCGTTCTTATCAAAGTTNTGTAATATTTTTTTCTTCAATTTGTAGATATTAAGCGGAATGTCGAAATTGATGAGAGAATGCTGGCATCAGAATCCTAATGTTCGACTACCCGCCCTTAGAATAAAGAAAACATTGTTGAAACTTGTTGATTCTGACTGTGCTGTTAACATTGACGAAATGGAAGTGTGTGTCTGAAAGGATCGTTGTATGCATGCACGTATGTATTTTTCTTGATTGTTAGTTATTATTATTAAGTTACTTTTATAGTAACTAAGGATGTGTAAATATTTAGCGATGTATTTCAAAATGCTGATTGATATTACAGTTCGTTAAAATAATTTACATAATTTGTTACGTATTAGAGTAGGTACAAAATAACATCTAGGTTTTAATTAATAATCGATTTAATTTTCCTTTTATCAACATGTGCCAAGTGAATAGTTAATTATTAGGCTAAATTACTTTAAACTTGAGATTTTTATTTTTTAAAAACAAAGTACATATTAGCGTATACATATTTTTGTTTAAGACTATTTTTATACATATCCTACATTTACATAAAAGACTAAAAGCATGCAGTAGTCGATATATTTTTTAGTTTTTATTTTTAGTTTTTTAGTGTACCTAGCGATTTATTATTACTTTTAAAAGGTCTTTTATTCCTTTAAAGGGTCTTCTATTTATTGTGTTAAAAAATGTATCTGAACATTTTAATCATGTAAAGTACAAATTAATATTTCTCATACGATATATTAAAAATCATTGTAAATATGTAGGAATTAGAAATTCACCAAACATTGACTTTCAAAATACATGATCTCTATTTTTGTTGATTAAACACTTTTTCAGGTACATTAGCATGTAATTATGCCGGTTTAATTAATTTAATAATTTTTGTCTGAAATATCAGTATATATCATATCAGTTTATAGAAAAAAGTAGCTTTAGTAAAATGTATGTTCAAAATAAGGGGACGAATTGGTAATTTTTCTCAAGTTTAAAGTAATTCTATTAAAATCTATTAAGAAGAAAGACGTAAAAAAGTTTTTTGTCTTTATTAATTTTTAGCTATAAAAAGAAATTAGTTTATGAAATGAGTGAAACAGTAATGTACAAAATTTTACCTACTAGTAATTTTTTTTAACGACAATACCCAACCCCATTAAGTTTGAAAAAAATTTAAGTTGACCTGACCTTATAAATATTATAGTTCTGTTAAATAATAGCACATTTTTAATGAGAAATAAAACCCAATTTATGTATTTTAAAAACAAGACACACGAACTAAGGTTGATAATAATATGAAAATGGCCTACAGTGAGTTTAATACATTTTCTAATTGTAAAATTTTTTGTTCCTTATACTTGCCTTAATAATTTATAACATTTGGGATCAGTCGTTTAGTTAATCAAAATTATAAGCCATTTTTGGTATTTTTACTATTTTTTTTTGTATTTTTTCATTAGTACTCGTAGATGTATTAGAATTTATAATCTCATAAAAAAATTGGTACCTTCATTTGCTCAATATAGTAATGGGGAAATTCAAGAAAGCAGACTATGTGTAACCATTATAAATAATTGTGTTTGCTGTCGGAGAACAATAACAATTTAAAAAAAAATAACTTTTTAAAAAGCATGAAACTCACTATTTGTGACGTCATTTTCATACCCTTATCGACTTGATCATTGGATTTCAACAGAGAGCTCTTAGAATGTATTTACATAGAGCCCTAATAAAGCGAGACTTTATGGACTAAATTATTATTACATTTGGGCCCATATTTCGACATGTCTGAATTGTTTAACAATTTACTGCCAGCTTTTTATTTTTCTTTTAAGACTCATTTTCTTTTTATAAAACCAGACATACTATACATCTATGTTTAGTACTAAATTCTGTCTGTGTAGTTATAAAATGTAAACATATTTGTGTATATTCAAACAATGATATTGTCTCATCATATCTTAAAAAAAACTGCTAGAAGTTTGTGTTTAATTATAATTTATTGTCTAGCAGTTTGCTTTATATTTTAATAACTTTTGAAAACAACGCCATATCAGTTTATTTATCATTGTGGTACTATTAATAAAAGCTCACATACATTGTAATAATTATTAACGGTAAATTAATGTAAATTGATTACATAATAATAATAACAATAAATAAAAGAACTTTAAATGTACATAATCTCTACATTAGCTGTTAAAGCAATACGTTTAGTTTATATGTAAATTAGTTCTCTCTAAAGTAATATTTTTATTACGGTTTAAATGATATTAAATTTTCTGATGTATTCGAATTAACTAGTGTAAAAGTCCATGAAAATGCTTGTGTGCATAGCGTTGTTTATTATTAAATGATAACTAACGTCCAAAAGTATCGATAATAAAAGTTTTTTGTTGTACGTATTAGGAAAATATATCTCAACTCGTATATTGGGAAATATTTATTATAAAGAATAAAGATATTAACAAACAAATTATTACTCTAAATTTCTTATTTTGTATAGAAGTTTTAAATATTTTTTATGCTAATAAACCTAGAAACCATATTAAAAATCTATTTGTTAATGCTCTTTATCTCATAAATTGTTAATATTAAATTACCAAAACTTAAAATAATCGACAAATTGCGTGAAAATCACGATTACAAATTTGATGTAGAACTTGTTGGACATACCTCGTATGTAATGTATATTTTGAAGAGGCACCGTAGTAAGATATAAATGAAGTTAATTACAATAAAAGTTACTAATTTCAGACTCCAACTTGACATGGATAGAAATATTTGACGTTTGGAGACTGACGTGACGACCAGCGAAGAATAATGAGTGAGATGTGCTTGATAACGAATTTGTCTTCTAAAGTTTAAGAGACTGACACATGTCACAGATGGATATAAAAGACGGAAGAAGTAGAGTTAAAAATAGAATCATCACCATGTCGCAGCCGAGACGTTAAATTGCTGAAATGAGTAATAGGTTTAATTAATCAAGCGAATAAAAGTTAAATTGACAATGGCTCTGCCGAACGCCCCAATTGACGAAACCCAAATTTTAAAAGCCGAAGTGGAGAGGCTTACAAGGGAGCTCGATCAAGCAAGTAGCGAAAAAGTACAGTCTGCAAAATTCGGGCTTGTTTTACTTGAAGAAAAAAGACATCTTCAGCAAAAATGTGAAGAGTTAGAAACACTGTATGAAAATACTAAACATGATCTGCAAATTACACAGGAGGTAAGAATATTTATTCATGAGTGTTACCATCCTAACTTGACAATAATGATCTTTATTTTAGGCTCTCACTAAATTTCAATCTAGTCATAGAGTGACAACTAAAACAGGGATTGAAACAGAAGAGTCTTTGTTGTCTGAGTCAGCTGCTCGTGAAACGTCTCTTAATTCTCAAATAATTGAGCTGGAGAATGAAGTTAAACAGTTAAGGCATGAGTTGGAAAGAGTAACTGTAGAAAGAGATAGGATGTTGCAAGAGAACTCTGATATTGGCAAGGATAAAGAGGATCGCTACATGGAGTGTAAACGACTGCGTACTGAATTAAGGGAGATAAAGTTTAGAGAAACCAGATTAATAGCAGATTATTCAGAACTTGAGGAGGAAAATATTGCCTTACAAAAACAAGTTTCAGCTTTACGTAGTGCACAGGTAAACAAGAGATTTTTTTTAAATTTATTGTAGGAATTATAGGATCTAATTCTTATTTACTATATGTGTATTTATTGTAGGTAGATTTTGAAAGCTTAAAACATGAAACAAGACGTCTACAAGAAGAAGTCGACCTATTAAATTCTCAAGTTGAAGAATTATCAAATTTAAAGAGAATTGCTGAAAAGCATATGGAAGAAGCATTAGAATCATTACAGTCTGAAAGAGAAGCCAAATATGCACTTAAAAAGGAACTTGATCAACATATAAATCGTGAATCTTTGTATAACATAAGTAATTTGGCCTACAGTATAAGAGGGATGTCTGAGGATCAGGTTCTGGGTAGTGATGGTGAAGAAGAGCTTCCAGGTCTTAAGCGTATTGAAGCCAGTTTGTCAGATGGTTCTGTACCAGAATTAACATCTCCAGATGGCAAGCAAGTTGATTTATTCTCTGAAGTCCACTTAAATGAATTAAGAAAACTTGAGAAGCAGTTGGAAACTTTAGAAAAGGAAAAATTGTCTTTAACACAGAATTTAAGAGACAGCCAGGCAAATGTTGAAAGAAGTCATGGAGAACTTCAAGTAAATAAGAGTATTTTATTTTAAAATTATTTATCTTATTTTTTTATTGGCACTTATAACAGATTCATATTTTGATTTATAATCCTATCATTAATAGAACTTTTTTCTTATTTACATTTTTTTGTAGAATTTCTTAGCAAGAATGGCTCAGTTGGCAGCCCATGTAGATGCTCTTCAACATCTTAGTGAAAACGTTAACAAACAAGTATCAAATGATTCTTCAAAGGTTCATCTGGTCCTATCCCAGTATAATCAGTGGTTCAAATTATCACATAGAGAAATCGAACAACTTAGAAATGACCTGAAAGAGATGGAAAATATTGTGAGTTGTTCGGATTCCACGACGCAATTAAGAACGGAGATCACTTTCTTGAAGAATAAATTGATGGACATGGAACAACGAAATATGGATTTAGATAGTGACGTTAAATTGCTCAGGGAATTCGCGAGCGAAGCCGGGGCTTCTCTTGAAGATGCTCACAACAATCTTCAAACCATTTCTGATGAACTGGCTCAACTTTATCATCATGTATGTACATTTAACGGAAAGACTCCAGATCGTGTTGTATTGGAACATGAAAAGGGAATGACGCCTGGTGAGAATTATTTAAAAGATTTCAATTTAAATTTTCTTCGTCTTTATTGATATTCATCTTTCTTTTATGTGGCTGTCTTTTAAATTACATTTAATCAGATAGCCAGTTTCATCTTTAAAACATTAACAGAATATTTAAAAAAAAATAACGACCTTTCTGATTTTACCGTACAATAGTGAAAATATTTCTTTTTTACAGTGTGTGAAACTGCTAGACCAATTTGTGAAATGTCGAAGATAGAGATGCTTCGAAGCAAACTGAAAAGTGACATTCCTCTGAACGACTTGGACAGTTTGAACGACACTGAAAATGTAGCCAAACAGGTCGGCATCATTATTGACCAAGTGAAACATCTCCGTACTGCCATAGAAAGCACCATTGACATGTCTAAGAAGAAAGAACATACAACAGAAAAATACGACTGTAAATATCTGCTTCAACTTGATCTGTTTTTTACATAAGTAGTTATTAATGGTTGGAGTTGTTATATTCTTTTGCTTGTTGCAGCTATTAAAGATGAAAATACAGAGGCCGAAATAGCCGAACTGCAGGAACAAGTAATCCGTCTGAAAAGTTTGTTGTCCACAAAAAGGGAGCAAATTGCTACACTTCGTACCGTCCTTAAATCTAACAAGAACACTGCTGAGGTAGCACTCAATAATTTGAAGGCCAAATATGAAAATGAAAAGACTATTGTGTCTGAAACTATGATGAATTTGAGAAACGAATTAAGGCATCTTAAAGAAGATGCTGCAACATTCTCAAGTGAGTACTTTACCCTTAACACATAAATAATTTACATTCGGTGTAAAATCAGGGGAAGAATGGAAAATATGTATAATTTCCTATTCACATACACTTCATAATCCATTTACTATATAAAGAATTTCAAAGGAGTTCTAATTTTGTAGAAGTTTCCCCTTACGATATTCTACTACTACAAACATTTTTTTAGGGAATTAAATTCTGTCTTTGTAAGTTCTATATTTTTTTAAACATAAAATTTTAAAATTAAAAATATGTAAGCTCGATTGTTTTAGGATATGAAGTTTTTAATGTAACTTGGCTATCAAATGTTACACGTAATAGTTTAAATTTAGGAGCCATTTAACACTTTTTTTGTAGGTTTGAGGGCGATGTTTGCCGCTCGTTGCGAAGAGTACGTGACGCAAGTTGACGAACTTCAGCAGCAACTCAATGCGGCCGAAGAGGAAAAGAAAACATTGAACCAACTTCTTCGGCTGGCGGTTCAGCAAAAGTTAAGTTTAACGCAACGGTTGGA